CAGCCCTCACCTTCAGGGAGACCCCACAACCCAAGGCATGACCTCTGGCCAACAATTCAGGGTAGCACACGCCCTTGACCCGGCCCCCATTCTTTTTTGTCCTCACTCATTGGCCCCATCTGCACTAAACATAATCGCTTTCCCCTCCCCTCAGTACTGCTGCCCCCACCCAGGGAAGGGACAGTCACCTCCTGGTGAGATGTCCCCATGTAGAGCGAGGCTTGGAGCAAGGAAGCTGCATTCTGGGGTGGGATTTTCAGCACTGGTACAAAGGCAGTTCGGTCACTGGATTACATAAGGGTCAAAGTATACCTCAAACCAGGGAATTCATGAGGGGCAATGCTTCAGATTCCTTGGGAAGCCAGGTTGAGCCAGTGGTGGGTAGGAGAGGAAGGGCGAGAGAGAGGAGGCAAATGGACATTGAGCACCTCCTTAGGCTTTATCTCTGATGTTCCATGGAATCTGCCACGTGGCCAGAGGCCTTATTTACACCTGGACTCCAACCCTGCTCACTTGGTCTCCACAGCCCAGATTCTCATGCAGTAGCCCCTGGCTGCTCCTTAGAAAACCAAGTTTTAAATAGCAAGCCCCCATTTCCAAATAGGTACTGACCTCCTTCTGCTTGCAAACCCACCCTGCTGTTGTATTTCACACCTGCCTTCACCTTCTCACCTGCCTTGACAGCTAGCATTAATGTTTCCTGTCACCTACGGGTGTTGTGTGACCATCCGGGTGTCCCTGGGAGGGGCCCCATTCAGCATCACACCCTCGGCAGAGAATTTTCCAGGTCGGACCGGGGTGGGGCTGGGAAGGGAAAGGAAAGCACAGATTTCTTTTTCAGACTCTGCTCCTGTCCCAGCCCCCACCCTGCCTTCTTCAAGCTCACTGATTATCTTGAGTCCCCTCTCCTAACTCCAGAGTCCAGGAGAAGATTCTGGGAGGTGGGTTTGTTTGGCCTAATTCACCAAGTTCCCCTGGCTCCTTGGTCTTGTCACCATGGAAACCTGTGAGGTCACCAGTATCACTAACATGGGAGGAAAAAATTGTTCCTCCCAAAGTGAGCCCCCACATGGCCTCAGTGGCTTCTGTGTAGGAGTGAGGAGAAGACCTAGCCTCCTCCTTAGGGATGGGTTAACCCCATGATGCCCAAGATGCAGGTGCCCAGACACAAGTCTCCACCTCCTTGAAGTTTCTCCAGCTCCTTGTGGGGGATGGGTTGGCGGGGAGGACCTGCAGCTTCTGTGCACTTACCATACAGGCCTCACGCTGCCCCTGGAGAAGCGGCCAAGTGTTCTTTCCCAGGCCCTGCTACTGGGTCGGTGCTTGTCTCACAGACTCAGATTGCTGCTGGGTGGCAGGGAGTGGGGTCAGAGAGGGAGCCAGAGTACTGGACCATTGCTCTAGACTCACTCCCTCTCAATCAAGGTCAAAAGCAGGGATTCCCAGCGGGGCTGACGCAGAGTGAAGGACGTCCCAAGCCCTCCCCATGCTGCCAGCTGACCTGCAATGCCTGCTCGTACTCCAAAGGAGTGGGTGTACCTGTCTGCTCCCCTCTGAGACCAGCAGTGTAGCCAATAGCTCAGCTCTCCTCTCCTCCTCTGTCCTTAGCAACTCAGCTTTGGCCCCTCTTTCTCCCAAGGTCCAAAAATATCTCAGCCCTGCCCTTCTCTTGCCACATTTAAGACCCTTCCAGCACCCACTATCCTCACTGTTCTAAGCACTAGACCATGCTATTTCCCATAGCCAAGGCCTCTGGCCCCTATTTAACCCTGTCTTGTGTTCTTCGTCATTACTTTGTTTCACCTTCATCTTTGTACTCCAGAACTATCACCAGGAACTTCTCCAATATTCCACTACCACTGCCTTCACCACTACCATCCCCGCTGTGAGTTTTACCAGTGCCCTTTCTATCACTGCATTGCTTCTCCCCACCATCATCAAATACCAGCACTCTCAGGGCTACCCCATAGTCAATGGCAACACCACCATGGCCATCTCGTTGCCATTGCCATTCTAAGCAACATCATAGCTCACTACCACCACCATCATCCCTATGGTCACCACAGTAACCAGCACCCTACTATCAATACCACACCATCTCTATCATTGGCATTGGCACCCCATTACCACCACTGTTCCCTTCACCATCCCAAGTATGTGATCACTCTTCGTCACCAACCCTACCACTGCACTCATCACCGTCATGTGAAGGAAAATGATGTCTGCTGCCATAAAATCAATTAATCAATCAATTAATTTCAAATCCTTCCAAGGAAGCAGTGGGAGAACCCACATAGGGAAGAAGCAGCTGGATCACATGACCTCCATTCTTGTCCCTGCGATGCTTCATCATTTAGGGAAAACTCGCACCAGTTGACATTGTTGCCACCAAAGTAAGCACAGGGTCTCTTTCTGTACTTCCTCAAGGCACAGTTGAGACAAAGCTAGAACATGTGTAGTAAACGGGATAGTAATAGAAGCTGCTGATGAGAGTATAAATTGACACAAACTTTCTGAAGAGTGGTAGTTTAACAGTACAACAAAGGCCGTTGGAAAGTGCATTCTCAGAAATTCTACCTTTAAGAAACTATCTTAAGGAAATAATTAAATAACTGTGCAAAGATGATGTGTGGGTGTTATAATAACAAAAATTAGAAACCACCTAACTGTACTAAAAAAGAGATGGTATTTAAAGAAATCTATGGACCAATAGGCAGCCATAAAAATAGAAAATATGGATTTATCTGTTTACATAAAATATTCTGACTATTGTTAATGAGCGAAGCAGGTTTCATATCAGCATTTATAGATAATCTCCTGTTTCCAAAGATATGAATGTGTTCATGAAACAGGTAAAAATATATTAACAGATACATAATGGCTGCACACTACTCAGTATGAGACAAAGAGAGGAATTAATTTTGATCCTGAGGAAGATGGCAGAGAAAGATGATCCGAGAAGGAGAGGGAAAGGAAAGTCAGCTGAAGGGGAGAGAAGTCAAGGGGGGAGAAGGGGCGGGGGAGGAGAAAGCTCCCTGGTGGGGGCCAGGGGTACAGGAAGGCCTTTAAGAGCTTGGATCCCTGCTCTTTCTTAAAAGTTGCACATGTGGCTATAGTGTGAACTATTTCTTCTTCTCTACCACACCAAATTTTTGGTCTCTTCTACTAAATGCTCAGAGGTTCTAAATGAATGATTTTCCATCCACTGTGAAATGGGAGAAGGGGTTGAGTTTCTGGCCATGCTACCCCAAAGTGGTAGTAGTGGAGTAAATTATGGTTTTTATTTGTAATTTCTGATTTTCTAAGGTGAAGGTTAGAGGAAAAAACTGAGCTTCAAGGAGCATTTTTAGGGAAACACCACAGAGTCAGATAGAGCTAGATAATCTGAGTTTAAAAGTATGACTTCCACCCTCCCATACTGACCCAAGCTGCCTTTGCATTGTGGGTTCTGTCTCGATCACCCCCACACACCCAGGAACATCCATCTAAATGTCTCAGTACTTTGAAGACTGGTTTCAAGAGACTCACATACTGTGCAGACACAGGAAATCCCTACTCCAGTAACTAAACTTAGATCTCCTCATTCTGGTCTCTGCTCAAAGTATCCACTTCTGGTTACAATATGAATGATTTCCCTTGTCAGGGAATGTCCTGCCATTTACAAGAACTTCGGTCTGTGAGCTTTCACAAGGTAATATCTTAAGAGAAGACCCCAGCAATTCTAATAATTATACAAAAGATGCACAGGTGCTATAACAAAGTGATAATCACCTGCTGTGGTATCCCATCACCTCCATCACCGCCACGACCACCACCACCACTATCATCACTGTCGCCACCATCACCACCACCATTACCATCACTATTACCATCAACACCATCATCATCATCACCACCATAACCTCCAGCCTCCTTATCATCCAAGTACTGTACACTCATCCAACTCTGCCTGCATTTAGGGTCCTCTTGAGGTGGTCCAGAAAGGACACAAAGAAGAAGCAAGTAGGAGAAGGGCTGTTTTGTCCCCATCTTTTAATATGTTCCTGATCCACACAAACCCTGTGCAGTTCATTCACTTGGTATTCAATGGGAAAATGTAGCTGGTAATGAATTTGTTTTGCATTCAGTTGGATAACACTGTTAGTTATGAATTTATAATTTGCAGAGGGAAAAGGCTTTTTTTTCTTTGAGGCGTCAGAGAAGCTGTTGCTTACAAACTTGTAATTCACCGCTGCAAATCCATCTGTAAATGACACTATAGCAAGCTGAAAATCTCCCAGGCACGAGGAATACAGCTTCAGAATTAAATTGTGTGTTTGACAAGAACCTGCTGTTCTGTCCTGCCCCAGTCCCATTGGCCCCACCTTCCTCCAGAGTTCAGCCTCAGCCTTGCCAGTTTGGCTCCATCAGTTTGGCCCCCCTACCTTCACCCCCCTCCCACCAACCCAGTGCCAGCCTGTGCTCTCCTCCCACATCCAGAGGGAGGTCAATTGCTTGGCCAAGGCTGCACAGCATTCTGGGGGAAAGTACATACAGGCTTAGCATACATGGGCATAGCCTGGGTCTGTGACATAAACAAGGACCCCCACTGTCCACACTCCTGACTCTCTGAACTTTAGTTTCCCAATGACTGATGAGTTCCCAGTCACCTTAAAAGTGTTTCTCCAGATTTGTCAACCAGAGTGTGGACAGGTAGTGAATCTATCCAGGAACGTATTGCCCTAACTAGGGCTGAGCCCAGACATGGGAGTAAGAGGGTGGAGAGTTGACCAAAGGCCCAAAGGGGCAGAATTGGGTAGAGGCACTGGATCTGTGACTGCTCAGCCCACACAGACCACAGTGGGCCAAACTTCTTATGCTCAACTATTTCTAGGTTCTTGTATTTTATGTTTTTGTCTTATTTCCTTTTGGGTTTCCCTTAATTATTTGCTGGTCTTCGTTGTTTTTGTTTTGTTTTGTTTTTAGTAAATGTTACTTTAAAATATTTAACTTTAACTTAGGATGAAAATAAAAAGAAGACTCACTCCGTAGATGAAATGAAGAATGAAATTGGTGCCTGGTAGGAAAGTGACGCTGGGAATGAAACTGGGGGACTCATCAACAGAGAGTCAAGCAATAAACATTCCCAACATCCCTCCTCCCCATATGCCAGAAACTGAGCAAGAAGGCCTCGACACAGGAACAAATAGGACAGCTTTAGAGGCTTCCAGTCTAGCAGGCAGAGAAACCATTACACCAGCAGTTAGGCTGAGAGGTGATCTATACTTTGATAAAGGGAGTCTGTGTGTCATGGGCCTGATGACAGAGGCACCAAAATAGTCTAAGAGGGTTTAAGATGCAACCTACTCTTGATAAGCTGCGTGATCTCCAACAAGTTTAGCCATCCTGAACTCTTAGTTGTCAGACAGTAATTGCTGAGCACCTGTACTCTAGTCAATAAAGGGAATGTACATTCTAGCACAGAATGCAGATGTCACATTATTACAAATGATCAGGATACAGGATAGTCTAAGGGGGGATTCTGGGAAAGCTTTCTCAATGATTGAAATTTAAGCCAGGGCTACAGGGGTAAGCGGGAGTTAACTTGGTGAAGAAGGGTTAGAGGGCCCCTAGATAGAATGAACAGCATGTGCAAAGGTCCTTAGGCAAGAAGCTTGTGTGTCCAAGGCACTGAAAGAAGGTCAGTGTGAAGGAAGGGCAGAGTGGAAGGGGGGTCGTAAGGGAGTTTAAGCAACAGGAGCCAGACCACCAAGAGACTTGGAGACATAGCAAGAATTGGACTTTAGGAAATTGTGACTTTAGGAAAATGTGAAACAGATGCGGGATTTTAAGGAGAAGAACATGATTGAAAGTATCTTGAAACCTGTGACTGCTGTGGTGCAAATATCTTGGAGAAGACTGAATTGCACATAATGGGGAGCAGATTCATTGTCCAGGGGAGAGATGATGGTACCTCAAGCAGATGGGGTGGCCACAGAGATGGAGGGAAGGCAAATATTTAGGAGACAGAATGAGCAAACAAAGGTAGCTCCCACGTGGGAGGTTGAGTAGAACCTATAGAGGAAGACTCTCAGAGTCACTGTAAGGGTTGCTGATATAGGGGACATAGGGGGAAGACTTGTTTAAGAAATATCCTGAGTTCAGTTTTGAATCTGGGCTGCCACAGAGGCAGAGGATCCATGAATCTGGAACTTGGAGGGAATCCAGCCTGGAGGTTCATATTCAGGACAAGGAGCCATAGGTGGGGTAACTGCTAGCCACAAGAGGGCAGGAACAGAGGGGGGAGATGACAAGGACATACAACTGAGCCTTGAGCAACTCCAGTGTTCAGAGATGGGCAGGGTGGAATGCAGCAGTGAGCTTGCAGCCTGCAGAAATCCAGAAAGGCTTAACATCCCTGCAGCTGAAGAAAGAGAGGAGGTAGTCAGTACCACATGCAGTGGGGAACAACACAGGTCAGGACTTGTGGACTGAGCATCTTGGAGGTCACCTGTGACCTTAGCATTTAAAGTCGTTAGGGGAGTGGTGGAGGTGGGTGCCAGATTACAAAAGGAAGAGGGATGAGTGAAAGCCGTAGCAGGAGAGGTAAGGAATGGGGCAAGGATCATTGCCCCTTGGGGTAAGTCTGTGGAAAGAGGAGAGATGAGACAGGACTTGTAGAGGGAAGTGGGACCTTACTTTTAAGATGGAAGTGTAAAGAACAGGCTTAAATGCTGCTGGACAGGGGGAGACGGAGGGAGTAAGGGAGAGAAGAAAAGAGAGAGAGATTTAACTGATAGAAAGATAGGAGAGTACAGCAAGTGATAATGGACAGAAGATCCCTCGAAGGTGGAGGAGATGATAACTCAATTTCCCCATGCTTTTGGCAGACCAGTTGAGAATTCTTCATGTGAAAGTATTCTGCATATTATCATCTTCCTGGAATATCCCAGCACCCCATTTTCAGAAAAGGAAAGAGAGGCACAGAGAGGATATGTGATTGATGCAAGTCACACGACAGGGTTTTGCATACATGTCTCTCCTGAGAAGAGCACGGTCTGAGGGGTGTCCAGGGGAGGGGCATGAGGCTCAGGATGGGTGTGATAGGAGCACCCCCTAAGCTGTGTGCAATGCCCCTTTCCTCCAGCTTTTCCTACCACAGATCACTTTAAAAATATTTTGTTAAATAAAAATGTGAAACAAATAAGTATTTCAGACATTTAACATTCAAAAATATACCTTGAGAACTAACTATAGCATACTCTCTTGGGACATTAAGGACTTGGGGGTGTCTACTCCCCAGCAGTTCACAGTCAGGGACAGTCAGACACAGCGTGACAACATAATATGGCAAGTGCTCTGCTTGTAGCAGACAAGGGTTCTCTGGTGGCAGGGCAGGACCTCACACACTGGGAGAATATTTTAGGGGGGTATGGCATTGGCTTCGAGGAGAAGCATGAGAAGAGGAGCATTTCAGGCAAAGAGCAAAGCAAGTATAAAGGAGGATACTGAGAAAGGAGTCACAGGTAGCTCAGCCTGGCAAAAGCATAGAGGGAGGCTGGCAAGAGAGGGGAGGCTAAAGAGATAGACAAGGTCAAGCTCTTGAAGAGATGCAAATGCCAAGCCAAAGAGACTTGCCTTGCCTTGTAGGGATGACAAGTTATAGAGGAGCATAAACAGGTAGACCAGAAAGCTGACACCACAAACAGTGAACTCCACAGGGTAAGTCTGAAGTTGATGAATCCATTGGTTGGCCATCACCCAGGGCAGGGGCCCATGGGTGCAGGAAAGGAGCTAGCCATCAGTAGGGAGAAGAAGAAAAAAACATGCCTATACCATGTCAAGAGGACAAAATCAATAGGACTTAGTGACTAGATGTGGGATGATGAGAATCTAAGATGATCACAAGTTTCTGCCTTGTGTGGAGAGGTGGAGTGGTGCCGTCCTCTGATGGTGAAGACAAGGGGATAGATTCGAGAACATGGAAATGTCCAGCAGGCAGGTGGCAATATGGTCTGAAGCTTTGGAAGTTTCTTTCTGGAAATAACAAACTGGAAGCCAAGTACTTTTAGGGACTGTGGAAAAGGTTCCCTGGGAAAGGTATATGGAGTGAACGGGGTCTGAGGATCCCACGGATCACCAACATTTTAGGGACCAGAGGACAAGGGAAAACTGAGAATTGGAAGAAATGATTTATGATGTCACAAAGGAGGAGTGCCAGGAAGTGGGATGAACCTAAAAGGTACAGGTACCATAAAGTGATCACCTTGGACAGGGGAGGAAAAGGGTCTGCGCTCTAGCAAGAGCAAGGTCTTGCTCAATAACAATCTTACCAGCAATGTAATGATGGCCAAAAACAGGTTAAAAGGTTTGAGAAGTGAGTGAAGAATGAGAAAGTAGAAATAAGCAATGAAGAAAACTCTTGAGAAATTGCCTGAGCTGGGGAGACTTAGGCAGGCAGGATGATGACAGAAATGTTCCCAGACATGGCTTCCCCAGTGTAAGCCCCACCACTGTTCTGCCACAGCAGGACTTGTGTTGCCTCCTTGTTCTGAAATTGCCTTTTCTGGGAGACTCAAATATGTACTCTTTGTAATCTTTTTATTTGGGGAGGACTTTCTCATGAATTTGCCTGTGGTGCTAACCACTCATCCCTCCTTTGTGTTCAGAAAATTTCCCAAAGCCCCAATGTCAGTAATAACAGCTAATATTAACTAAACATCTATTAAGTCCGTGCTGAACATGTTACATGGACTGTTGCATTTAGTCTTCAAAACAATAATCAGAAAGGTATATACAGAGAGGAAATGGAGACCTGGAAAGATTTAGTGAGTCACGTGGCTATTGGAAAGCCTGGCGTATGAGTCAGATCCTTCCAACTCCACCAGCTAAGTGTTAACTAGCTTCTCTTTTATCTCTACCATCTCTGAAGCCTGAACACATTCACTCTGGCCCTGACACTGCCTTCCTGGTGCCAGGACCCATTCCTTCTGAGAACTCAGCTTGCAGATTGAATCTTCATTCCCTCCTGACCTGCATGCCAATCTCACTCCTGTGCAATCGGCCGCAATAGATTGCAGGCTAATAAAAACAGTTGCCATTTTTCTAGCTCCTGCTTCCTCTGCCACCTCTTAGGTACTATGTTTGGTGCTTCTTGTTCCTTATCTCATTCCATCCTCAAGGCAACCCTATGCATTTACTATTATTTTGCCTATTTTACAGATAAGGAGCCTCAAATTCAGAGCAGGCATGTTACTTTCCCAAGATCACACAGCTAGTGAATGGCATAGCTGAAACCTAAATCCAAGTCTGCCTGATTCAATAATCTCCCAAATACTTCCCCTCCCCTCCCTGGCCAGCTCTCTTTGCCTTCAGGACTTTGGGACATCCCACCCCACCTAAGAACTCCATAATATAATCCGTCATCTGTCCCCTGAATATATTTGTCATGCTGCTATTGGTTGTGTGAGATAGAAACCTAACCAAACAATCTGGAGCAATAAAGGAACTTACTGGCTTTTATAGATGGATAGAATAATGTTGCTAGTCCCAGGACTAAAAGAAGGACAGCAGGAACTAAGGCCATGAGATCCAAAATTGGGACTCAATGCTCCCAGCTCGTTTTCTAACTTCTTCTTCCTCTTTTGCCTTGCTTCGCTCTTAACATTTAGTGGGAAACTTGTAATCAGGGAAATGCAAATCAAAACTACCATGAGATACCATCTTACACCAGTGAGAATGGCACATATTAAAAAAACTAGCAACAACAAATGTTGGCGAGGTTGTGGAGAAAAAGGAACTCTCCTGCACTGTTGGTGGGAGTGCAAACTGGTCCAACCACTATGGAGAGCTGTGTGGAGATTTCTGGACCTACTAAACATAGAGCTTCCATATGATCCAGCAATTCCACTCCTAGGTATTTACCCAAAGGACACAGAGACATCAATTCCAAAGAGCACCTGCACCCCTATGTTTATAGCAGCACTGTTTACAATAGCTAAGCTTTGGAAACTGCCCAAATGCCCAAAAATAGATGACTGGATCAAGAAGATGTGGTACATATACACCATGGAATATTACTCAGCATTCAAAAAAGATAAACACATGCAATTTGCAGCAACATGGATGGCGCTGGAAGGGATCATGCTCAGCGAAATAAGCCAGAAAGAAAAAGAAAAATACCGGATGGTCTCACTCATAGCAGGAATCTAGAAAACTTAAATAAGGGACCAGGAAAAAGAATAACTATAAGAAAGTGAAAATCAAAATCAACAAACAACTATGAACCAGAGACACTCAATGGGGGGTGGGGGGCGGGGAAAGGTGGGATTGGGGTCAAAATAAGGGGGTTGTAGTTGTATGGGGAATATAAAAATAAAATTTAAAGTAAAAAAAAAAACATTTAATGGGAAAGATGCCTGTCCACAGCCTCAGGTCCATTAACATCCAGCTTAGTACCCCAGGAGGAAGAAGCCACCTTCTCCCCAGCATCCACATAGCAATCCCAGGGAAAGCATCTGATTGGGCTGCTTGAGGAGTGTGCCCATCCCCTGGACCAATCATTGTTACTGGAGGACTGGGTTCTATGATTGGTGCAGTCTGGATCACGTGCCTATTTGCTGGCAATTGAGTAGGGCTAGGTGGGAGGACTATGTTATGACAGAGGGGAATTTCCCAAAGAAAGGGGATGCCAGAAATGGGATGATGGAAAGCAGGCTAAAAAGGTAAAAGTCTGTAGCCATCACAGTCCACAGCACTGGCCTGTGTGAGACATGTGGACAGACACAATACAGACACTGCCCCAAGGAGCGCACAACCTCGCAGGAAATAAGGGTAATGGACAGTGGACAGGGTGCCGTTTATAAAAACTAAGAGCAGCTACCATCTATGAAGCACCTACCAGATACCAGGCATTGGAACAAGTCCTTCCCTGTGCATTATCTTATTCCATGCTCACCCTGACCCTGGAAAGTAGGTACAATTATCATCCCTCTTTTTCTGAGTCTAAGAGGCGCTTGAAAATAACCCTTTTGGCAAGACAGCCAATACCGGAAAAAAGAAAACACTTATGGGCTCCTTATCCCTGCTCAGAGAGGTTAAGTGACTTGCCCAAGGTCATACAGCTAGCCTATTAAATGAACATCCTGGGAAACATTTGATTAAGGGCCAAAGGAGTGTTTCTGTTGCCTGAAGGACAAGGGAAGACTGTGTAGAGGTGGGGGGTGAATGTAAGCAGAGGTCTGAAGGATGTGATCTGGGCAGATGGCCAGTAATGTCGAGGAGAAGATAGGATGGGTCAATCTCCAAATACCAAGAAGGGGAGCCAGAACACCTCCTCCCCCAGAATCTATCTATTCCTATCTATTCCTTCTTGCCTCTGGAGATTTACAGTCATAGATCCCTTCTCATGAGTCTTTGCCCTGACCAACCCATCCCTTCTTCACAGAATATATACACCAGTCTCCACCCCTCCTCCATCCTAGCCGCCCTCCTGCAGATAAGTCCAGTGAATTGGGGTGCTAGACACGGTTCAATCCACTGACAACAGAAAACTCGTACCTCCCTTTTTCTAAGCACTGCACTTCTATTAATGAGACCCAAGATCAACTAGGTATTAAGCAGCCACATCCCATCCTCTCAAACTGAGCTCACTCTCTCCTAACACTCCCAGTTCAAATACATCTCCACCATCTTGGATGTGGGGAGACAATTCCATAAACCTGAGACTAGAAACTGATTTTATTTTCTCAGAATCATCCCATTTTTTATCCTGACTATTCCTTAACATCACAGTTTCCATGAAAGTGATTGGTGGGACTGTATGAGGTACTTAAAGTAGTCACATTCAGAGACAGAAAATAGAATGGTGGTTGCCAGGGACTGGGGACAAGGGGAATGAAGGAGGGAGTTATTGCTTAATGGGTAGAGAAATTCAGTTTTGCAAGATGGAAAGACTTCTAGAGATGGATGGTGGTGATAGCGGCACAACACTGTAAATGCACTTAATGCCACTTAAATGTATACTTAAACATGGCTAAGATGGTGAACATTATGTATATTTTACCACAATTTTTCTAAAACATGATAGGTGAGCACTCTGGGTCCACCTCCCCAGAGGAACATATCCCCCCTCCCCCCAGGTGACTGGATTCCAACCCTCATAGCTTCTGGAGGACCCAGTACCTCGACAAGACCTCTGTGAGCACAGATCTGAGAGAACTTGGAGATCAAGTGAAACCATAAGTACATACAACATATCACTGGCCCTGGAATTCAAGTGCCCCTTGGGGTGGTCTCAAATCAGTGTCTGGCCCTACCTCCCTTAACTCTGCATCTGCCTCTAGTTCAAGGTCTCTACTCCCCTGTTATCTGAACTTTGATAACGTCACCTAAACTTAGCAACTCCAAATCTCCACCAACCACTTAGTCCTCAATGCCCAACAATTTGGCTCTTGCCACCTTCCTTCCCCGCCCTCCCAAAAAACTGGCCCTGCCACGTTACCCCCTAAGTACCAAGGCCAGTGGACACTTTCCATTCCTTCTCTACAGTCCTGATGCTGTTGAGCACTTGCTTCCAAAGCCTGTCCTCTTGGGCCTGTCAGACTCCTTACTCTCCTGGCTCCTCCCACACCTCTGCTCCATCTCACTCACTGACTCTTTTCCAAGGTTCCAGCCTGGAGCTACTGCTTTTGTGACTAGTCCTCCTGCCCCTCTAACAATGATTTTTTAAAAAATAATAAAAGCCTCAAGTCCAGGCATAGATCCAAATACCTAACTGACTTCTAGATACCTCCACCTGTCCCAAATGGGACTCCTGATTTTCATCTCAGACCTATTCCTCCCCTCCCTTCTCTAAATCAACCAGTGACACAGCCATCTACCCTCCGTCCCAAGGTATAAGCCAGAGGCAACCTGGAGTACCCTAATTTCTCAAAGTGCAACAGAGGAGGAAAGGAATCTCCCCTGCTGCCACCCAGGCTCCTCCTCAGCTAGATCCTCCTAACAGCTTCCTAACTGGTCTTCTCGGGGGCAAAGTGCTCAGATTCACCAGGCACAATGCCCACAGAGGGTTCTCCTGAGAAGGCAAGCTAACAGACCAGGTTCCTCCCATACATCCTCATTCCCCAATGCCCAGGATAAAATCTGAGTCCCTAACCATGGCCTCTGCGTCTCACCGGGATCTGCTCTTCCTCTAAGCCACTTTTCAGAGCTGTCAAAAGGGTATCTCTGAAAGATCAGTTGGCTCAAACTACCCCTCCTCTCACCTCTGCTTCTGAGCCTCTGCTCTCACCCCCTCCCTGCCTGGAATGCTCATCCCACCTCCCCCAAACTGACTGTCACCTGAGTAACTCCCACTTCTTTGAGATTCAGATCAGGGCTGCCTCCCAGGAAGAGACCCCTAGCACCCGGCCTGGGGTTACTCCTCACCCAGTTCCCTCATCATTGCTTCTAGAACTTGCCTTCGTCCTGCATTTAACACCCCCAGCCCCCCTCCCCCGTCAGCGTTTCCCCAGGCGGATCCCCTCCCCCCAGGAGATGTGAGCTTCCCGAAATGCTACTTTACCTTCCTGTGACCCAGAGTCTGGCATGGGGTCTGGTACACAGAAGGCGCAGAATAAATGTTCAGTAAATGAATGAACAACAACGAAATGATCTGTCCAACGCGTACCTCTCCTCTGCGGAGCTTCCAACCACCAGCTCCTCCAAGTCCAGAGTTTGGCATACAGTATAGGTGTTCGGTAAAGGTTGCTATTCTCCCTTCTGAGTTAATCTTATTTAAGGGAAAGTCTGGGGCCGTTAGAGATGTGACCGGGGAAAGGGGAGGGTCTGGAAGCGAGAAATTTCGCCGAAGCGGAGGGTTGGGGTGCGCCGCAGTGGGGGAAGGGGCCACGGGGGTGTCTGAAAAGGTGGGAAGGAACTAAGTCCCTAGCCCCCCGGCCCTGCACGCCCCGAGGTCGGCGGGAGTCCGCGAGATGCTCTGCCTCCACCCCGGCCGGCGGCGGACCCTCCCGCGTGCCCCGGGCGCCGAGACCCCCCGGCTGGCGCGCCCGCCGCTGGGCGCTGGGAGGCGTGTGTGTCGCTTTAAAAGCTCCCTCCCGGCGCGCGGGGCCGGCCCCTTCCCTGACAGCGCGAGGCGAGCGGAGCCCAGCGAGCCGGGCGGCCTTGGAGGGAGCCAGCGCCCGCCCGGGCGGCCAGTCCGGCGGGGGGCGGCGGGGCGGGCCGGGGGCGGCCGGGGCGCGGGCAGCGCGGCGGCGCGGCGCTCGCCGAGCGGGCGCAGGCCCGCGGAGCCCGGCGGGGCAGGGCCGGGCGAGGCATCGAAGGGAGGCCCAGCCCCGACCCGGCGCTGGTGCGCCCCACCGGCCGCGACCCGGCGCCGGGGGCTGGCGAGGCGGCGGGCTGGCGAGGAGCGGGCGGGAGGCGGCGGGCGCGGAGCAGAGGCTGCGAGCCCCGTGCGCCCTGGCCAAGCTGGGCCCGCCGCGCGCCCCCTCCCCTCGCTTCCCCGCGCCTCGCCGCCTCCTCTCGCTCTCCTCGCCTCCTCTCCTCCGCCTGGCTCGGCGCCCGTCCGCGCCCGGGCCGCGGATCCCAGCTCGGCCGGGACCCCTGGCTCTAGCGCGCTCGGCGGGGCCCAGCCGGGACCCGGTCCCTGTGGCCGACACCGCCCCTTCCCACGGGGCCCGGCGGGTTCCGGACCTTCCCGACTGTGGACTGCGCGGTGGGAGCAATCTCACCCCCGGCGAACCGTGAGGCTGGGCTGAGCGGACCCTCGCGGCCGCTCCGGACACCCCGGGTGCCGGAGCGCGGACATCCTGGGTCCGGACTAAGCGCGTCCCGGGCGCCCAGCGGTGCCAGCTCACTCGGGCAGGGCCGGGCAGACCCCCGCGGAGCCCGCCGATCTGAACCGGACAGAGCGAATCCCTGGCGGTGCCCAGCCTGGGGAATGCGGGGCGTGGGCTGAGGGGATCCCGGCGCCCTCCGATCGCTCCGACGTTGGCTCACGCGCTGGGACTGGCCTGGTGTCGCCTCGGTCGCCCTGAGCCCGAGTCACCTGTGGCCTGGGAGATCCGAGACCGCCGGCCCCCTGCACATTCCCCCCAGGCGGGGGTTGGGGGAGATTTTTTCTGTCCCCCATCCTTGGAGCACGGAGGCCCCGCCCCCTCCCACCACCCTGATGTCTCCCGCGGCTCTGAGGACCTCCCTGAGGCCTGGGGCCGATGGGTCCAGAGAGAGAAGCCCACCCTAGGGAGCCTTGGGGGCCCCCCAACCTCGTCTTGGGGCTTGGCCCCCGACGCTGCTCGGAAGGAAGGCCGGTGCCCCCACCCTTGGTGAGTCCGGGAGCGAGCGGTGAGCTGGGGTTCTGAGGGAAGGCGGGGCTGGGGAAGGGAGGGTCCGCTGGGAACGAGGGCACCCTCGGGCCAGTAGGAGGGAGGACAGAGGACTGAAGAGGCCCTTGGGTGAACCAGTGGGGTCAGGCAGAGCTGGGGGGAAGGTGGTTTGGGGAGAGCCAGGATAGGGCGCCCCATCGCAGCCTGAGGACTTCTGCCTCTAAAGCAGGGACTCCCTGTTTTTCCTCTAAAGGAGGGGCTGTACTGTAGACCATCTGCCTCCACCACCCCTCCCCACAAAGAAAAATAAAATAAAATAAATCCCCAGCGAGGAAGGGTGCAGGCTGGGGAGAGGAGGGAGGCAGCGCACTGCCGGCTGGTGCTGCAGCCTGGGAGGGCTGACGCCAGGCTTGCTGTTTCTGCAGGGGGCTGCCCTCCTCCTTTACAGAGCTGCCCACATCTGGAACCCCCTCCACACCTGGAAGACCCTGGCCACCATTCTTCTGCAGCTGTCAGTTGCATCCCCAGACCGCTGCCTTTACAACTGCCTAGGAGTTGTGAGGGGATTACTGCTGCCTTCCCCCCATCCCAAGGGCATCTCTTACCCTTAGTCCCTGCAGAGTCATCCCCCTGCCTCTGTGTCCAGGCTCAGCCAGAGATCAGTTCAGCATATCCGCTGGGACTTCAAGTCCTGGAGGCCGCTTCTGAGACCCAAGGCCCCTCCCCCTGCCCTCCTGTGTCCTCACCTTGACCCCCTCTGTCAGACTTTGTCTCCCTCTGGGTGTTCCATTCCCCACCCAGAGGCAGAGGAGGCAGGTGGTAGGGGGCAGGGACTGGGTGACGGCCACCCAGGGCCAGAGTGAGTTGGGGGGCCGTTAAGATGTGGAGCTCTGCCCGGCCGAGGGGGGCTCAGTGGAGGCAGACGCAGTGTGTGCCTGGCTGGGGGGAGTATGGGCAGGCCTGCGGCCACCTGGTGAAGGATGAACATTCGGGGCACCCCGGACCTCGGGCAGCCCAGTGACGACCCCAGCAGCGGTGGCGAGCGGGAGAGGATTCGACAACGCATGAAGATGGTCATCGGACAGCTTGAGGGCATCCTGCGGGAGCTCAAGGAGGTGGCCAAGGAGCTCAGGGAGGTGAGTAAGGGACCAGGCAGGCCCTAGGCCAGTTTTTCTATGCCTGGCACAAAAACATGTTCATATATCTGTGTTTGTATACGCACATAGCTGTGTGCACGTGCTGGGTACCTCCTTCTCCTTATCTCCTTTCCCCAGATCTGCTTTGCTAGAAATCTCACCAACCCCCAGGGCCGGAGACGGTTTGGCGATGCAGACACTGCGGGGGCAGCATGTTGTGGAGCCATGGCTGTGTGGTTAACACTCAGGGCTGCCAGGTGCCCGGTGAAGACCAAATCCCAGCACAGCCTCAGTGAGAAACTCTCTTCTCAGACCCAATCTGATCTTTCACCCCAGAATCTGACCTGATCACAAGGGACCTTGGGAGACTGTGGATGGCCCTACAGAGGCAGTATCCAATTCTCAAAGTCCAGCTCAGGGCACCTTCTCTCCCACCCCACCTCCCCATTCCCCATGCCAGAGATAAGACATATACTCAGAACCCTTGATCCTAGAAAAATTTAAGCCAGCTACACCCTCCTTGTCCATGGATGGGATTGGGTCTAGATGGCTGCTGGTGGCTATCAGACTTCCTGTGTGCATTGGCAGGAGCAGGAATCTCCTCTAAGGGGATGCTACATCCCCATCCCACCATTCTGAATGTGTTTTCTCTGCAAAGGCTGAAAAGTCACAGAGAGATCCTAGGATGTGTGTCCCTCTCTGTCTAAGTGGAGCCTGGTTTAATTACTGCTTCCCACATTGCTGGAGTAATGAGGTACACATGTCCTCATCCCTGCTCCCTGGGCTGTGTTCGAGCCCAAAATGCATGACCAGCGTTCTGAGCCGCTGGCCTGAATTTGCCCGCTGGGTGCCATTATACCAGCCAGGTGGGCTTTAGGCAAATTTCAGCTCCTTGTAACCAGGGCCCCTGCAGAGAAGGCTGGGAGAGTGATTGAACTGGAGTTATGGGCTCAGAATTCTCCCCAGGCAGTTGTGGGGGAGGATGGAGGGTTCTAGGAGGGTTAAGAAGTGGGACTGTCAGTGGTGATATCCCAGCATGGCCTGAAAGCCAAGGAGCAGAAGGGATTTGAATGGAGCTATGTTCGTGGTGGAGGGGAGTGTAACGATGCTGGAACAGGAACAGGTTGGGCAGGGCAGCCCCTTTGCCAAAGGTCCACCTCCTAGAGCCAGCCAGGCTGTCCCTTCTCAGAAGATGGGAATGGCTGTTGCTTCAGGTAAAGAGAGATAGTGGTGCTTTTACTGATGGACTGGGATGAACATCTTTGGAGAACATAATTTGGAGATCAAAGGCGAGATGCCCCTGAGCAATCCATCCTCCCCCAACCTCATGGGGTAGATTATAATTTCTACCTCATCCCTCACCAGCCTCCCATCTTATTTCGGCTGTTTTGTGAAATTCTCGGTCTTGGGCAGGACCAGGGGACTTATGGCCAAGCAGCCCGCACTCCCCCCCCCCAGAAAGAGCCAAAAGTGTCTCTAAACTGTCTGTGACACAGCACAGTCTATCTACCCCCAACGGAGCATCTCCCAGCATCTGCCTTCCCCCTCCCGAATAGCCATCCAGGGCTTTCAGGTAGTTCACAGCCAATCAGACTAGCCCTGTCTGTGTACTCTTAAAGAAACCAAAGCCCAGAGAGGAACAGGGGCTTGTCCAAGGTCACACAGCCTACCAGTGTCAGAACTAAGCCTAGAATCCAGGTTCCTGGTATCTGTTCTGAGGCTGGAGCAGATGGGCTAATGAGTGACCTGTTTGCATTTTGACAGAGTAGACATGATACCTTATGCTCATGAGGGGGCCTGCTAGGGGATGAAATCAGAAGCACTAGGATTTATTTGCACATCATTTCAATGTCCCCTCCCTCTCTTCTCAGCACATACACTCACTTACTCAATCCCAGAGCTTCAGGCTATACAGCCCAGAGGCCTCAGCCAGGACTAAAAGAGATGATTCCCCTCCCCCCACACACTCTGTAGACCATGTGCTGCCACCCAAGACTTTGGCAGGTTGCTACAGCAACCAGAGCCTACCCCGTATGCCACTGCCTGCCCGCTGCCAATGGCACCCAGCTGGGAGGGGCCCAGACCCTAGAGCTCCCCCACCCCCCAGGCAGGGTCTGGACATGGGAAGAGGAACAGAGGAGAAGAAGGTGAAGCTCTGGGAGGCCCAGGCAGAAAAGAAGATGCCACAAAGTAAGGAATTTGTCAGGAATTGGGTGTCCAAGTGAGGGTGTCAGGTCCTGGTTTGGGGTAAAGGATTGCAGCCTCCCTGGAATCTGTGATCTTGGTTCTTGGTACTCCAAGGGAACTATAAAGCTGGATCTGCCAGCCTCTCTTCAGTCGCTCTGTATGGCATTTTTCATCAGGGCATGGGTAGGCCTCTGGTTCAGAGAGTAACAGAGAATTATTCCCTCGTCATACCCCACTCCCCAAGCAGCCCCAGCTCAAGGCTCACCATCTGGGTTCTCCTCTCAAGAGAGCAAAGCACTTAGATGTGAAGGCAGGATTCATATGCATGATGCTGGGGTGCTACACAGGATGCTTGATGAAGAGCAAGGGCAGCTGAGAGGAAGAACTGTGTCCCTCTCTGCCATTCTCCTCCATCTGCCGTGCCCCTTCCCCAGCTCACAGATACCAGGGATCACTGCAGACCCTCCTCATCCTTTGGAGCATATAGCCTGAAATTCACAGAAAGATCAGTGCCACTGAAACACTTCCTCCCCAGATCCTCAGCCTTAGTCTGCTCATCTCTGGAATGGAGATGATAATTCACACCTTGATTGATCTGACAAGGATTTATCAGGGGCTTGACATGTGGTAGGGGGTCAACATCTATTCACCCTTCTAAAGAAATTGGAGTTCCCTCTCCCGTACCCTCCCCATAAGCAGCAGCTCCCAAGCCCCACCTGGAGCCCCATCACTGCCTCCCAAGGATATGGGAGCAAGTTCCATCCTGTTGGGGGAGAAAGTGTTTAAAGGACAAGAGGAGATGAGGACTGTAAGTGCTTTGAGAGCTAAAATCATGCTGCAGAGGGATATATGATGGTCAGTCAGTCATTAGCCGTCATTTCGCCCATGTTCCCTAAATCTCCAGGATGCCAGACCAATCCCAGCAGACTCTAAGTCACTCGAACTTCTGGGGATCTCCATTTAGACAGGCAGCACAGCCTCAGAACTGAGAGCATTGGCTCTGCAGCCAGCCGTCTCTGGTTCACATTCAAGCTCAACCCCCTCCTAGCTGGGTCAGCTTGGGAAACTTACTTGATTATCTCTCTGTGCTTCTGTTTTCTGATCTGCAAATGAAGATACTGAGATTTACACATTCCCCTGAGCCCAGGGTGTGAGAATTAAATGTATAGAGTACTTAGCACTGTGATGGGCACGAAACTAGCTCCCTGTTAGATATTATTAATGAAATATTCTATGTATGGCCCTGTTCCTTTGGTATGACACCAGCTTCTTAGCCATGATCAAGGAGGTCAGAGCCAGGACTCAGGCAACTTCAGTGGCAGCCTTCAGTTTCTCCAGTAATGGGGAACCCTCATCCTTTCCAGCAGGGGACAAGACTAGAGAGTGACAGTGATGAGGATGGAAAGGGGGTTCCCCAACAAGATAGGTTTTGAACAGAAACCTGAAGGAAGTGAGGGTACAAGTCATATGGGGGAGCAGGAAGTCTTCCAGCAATCAGAGGAGTAAGTACAAAGGTCCTGAGGAGCAAATGTACTTGACATGCCCAAGATCAGCAAGGAAGCTGAAGTGGAGTCAGTGAGGAGGAGGTTAAAGGAGTTGGGGAGGGGGGGTGCCTCCTTGGTGGCGCAGGGGTTAAGATACAACCTATGAGGCTATCTGCAGCCACTGCAGCACAAGTTTGATTCCTGGCCAGCCAGGGAGCAACCCACATGGTGCAGCAGACCTTTCTGACTCGCCCCGCTGCTCCCCTCAGCAGTGTATTTCAGTCAGTTTGCCTGTTCTGCTCCCCACTCTGTCTCTGGTGAATCTTCTCACCACCCCCCACACCTCTGGCCTATACCCCAGCTCTTGTATGCATAAATAAATAAATCTTTTTTTAAAAAAAAAAAAAGGAGTAGAGGGTCAGATTGCAGGGAACCTTGAGGTTGAGTTATATAATTTGGATTTTTGTCCTGAGTGATGACCTCACAGACTCTCCAGGAATCTCCTGGTTGTGTTTCTGAGTGAAAACCTACCTCCCCATTGCCTTCCCTGTTCCCCACCAATCAGGAGACTCCAAAGGCAGGAGTAGCTCACCTTGGCCCTCCACATGTTGAGCTTACCTAGAGCAGTGGCTTGACTCTCCCCTCCTTGGTCTCCCCCTCCCCAGTTGTTGTTTAGCATGGGGGCTCAAAAGTGGCTCTGGCATGACCACTGATGTTGCCCACAATTACCTACTTGGCCAAACACCTCAGGGCATAAAGGGTGGGACACAGCCCTTCTGCAGCCTGGGATATCCAGGAGCATTTGCATCCCGCCCCCACCAGGGAGCCGTCTTTGGCACCCTGTTCTCTGGCTGCCCAATGCATAGTCCCCCCGGCAAGGCAGGCAGGGCAAGCCAAGGGCCATGCAGGCATGAGATAAATGTGTCCCAGCCAGGGAGCAGCTGGAGCGGGAGAGGTTAGGGACCACGGAGCTGTGCCAAAGTGGGTCAGCTCTATCACCCGCAGCTCAGCAAGATTGTGCGGATTTTTTCTTCTTCTTGTGTGGTTTTTTTTTTTTTTTTTTTTTAATGCCTTCCTTTCCTCCTTTTCCCTTTGCATTCTCCTCCTCTGGACAGATTCACCAAGCTCCCAGGCCAATTAGGCCAAATTGCAGGATGAGAATCATGAATCATGGTCAACTCATTCCCCACCCTCTTCAACTCCACAGCACCAACCCCCGCCCCAGGAAGACAATAAATAACGTAATCACAGAATTAAAAAATAATCAGTGGTCATAAATAATGCAGAATCCCCAGTTATGTAAGCAGCTGCCTAGGGAGCTAGGAGGGAGGGAAGGAGGTAGCGGCTTGTCAAGTGAGGTGACAGGACCAGTGACTGGGGAGGACAGGAGATATGGATTCTAGGACTCCAGGTCCTCTGTCCTGGCCCAGTAGCCTTTTTTTTTTTTTTTAAGATTTATTTATGCATACAAGAGCTGGGGTACAGGCCAGAGGTGCGGGGGTGGGGGGCGGGGGGTGTGTGTGTGTGAAAGGATTCACCAGAGCCAGAGTGGGGAACAGAACAAGTGAATTGACTGAAATACACTGCTGAGGGGAGCAGCAGGAGAGTCAGGAGAGGTCTGCTGCACCATGTGGGTTGCTCCCTGGCCAGCTGGGAATCAAACTCCTGCTGCAGAGGCTGCAGACAGCTTTATAGGTTGTGTCTTAACCTTTTCGCTACAAGGGAGGCTCCCTGCCCTCAGTAGCCTTAGGGAACACAGATGTGCTTTCCTTGGAGAGGGGATTCAGGCAGGACTGAAGGGAGGGCTGGATTGCCAATATAGGAATGTTGAGGATTGTGGAACTCTCGGAAAAGAAACCTGAGCAGTTTTTATTAAGGCCTCCACCTCAACACATCCGCCCATTCAATAACTCTGTTTATAAACAGGGTGCCCATCCCTGTGCCAAACTAAGGAGAAATGATGGGCAAGACTGACCCAATCCCTTCCCTCCTGGGGCTTACTCTCTAGCAGAGAGACAGACATCAACCACACTATAACATGTAGCACATAAAATTGTGGCAGTGATAAATAGTGGAGAGGATTTTAAGGAGAGGTGGCCAGTACTTTGGGAAGCGTTCGTGGCACCCCATTCCCAACTGGACATCAGAGAATACTTCCCTGTGGAGTTTAGATGGAGTGAGTAGAGAAGGAGGGACCTCTCCAGGTGAGACCCAGAGCCAGAAGTGAGCCTGGGGGAGATTGTAAGGGCAAGTGAGGAGGAAGTCCTGGCAGAGTGGAACTTGCTTACAGGCGAGAACAGAATCCATGGACAAACTTGGGGTTGGGAGGGTTGTGTTTAGGAGCTTCAGGAGTTAGGGGAGCAGAGAAACACTGGAAGCAGAGGGGTGATTTGAGCTTCTTGGCTGATTAGAAAGTTCATTCCATACAGTGTGCAGTAGTCACAGGACAGGAAGTTGCTGTGGGGCTATAGGTGGGCTCAGTTGCTGTGGGGGCTATAGGAGGCAAGCTGAGGCTATGACCAGGACAAAAGTTGGGGACACCCTTGGGATAGGACCTGGGATCCCCAGCAGCTTCTGTCACTACCCTCAGCCCTGTCTCTTCCTCTGAAATGTTCCCTCTTGCCCTCCTCCCCCAGAACAAGTCATTCTTATTCTTGAGGTACCAGGTATAGTAGGTCAGGACTCCTGACTCTTGGTCTCAGCTCAGCTCCTAGTCTTGGGGCCTCAGTTTCTCCATCAGCAAGTGCAATAAGAAGAGGGGACTCAACAGTGTCCCCAGACCCTTCTGGCTTTGAGGCTAGGATTCTGTGATTTGTATAAATCCATTTCTCTCTCCATTCTTTCTTCCTGTCTCTTTCCTTCTGTGTATATAATTATTTCCCTGCACTCCAAGACAATCCCAAATTACATGTAGGCAAAATGATTATTAAATCTCAGAGAAAAATCACAGATTTCAAGACATCTAAAGAAGCAAGGCAGGTAGCATGGGACCTGTCCCACGCCTGCCTACCTCACCCCATGAAAATCAGGCTTCCAGGATAGACAGTGGGGTGGGTGGACTGATCCAGGCCCATGTGATGGGGTACCCTTGGCAAACATCCCACCCCTTTCTGAGTCTCACTTATGCCATTCAATCAGGTATGACCATCCTACCTGATGGACTAGCTCAGATTTGCCTGTGAGCCTCCTAACATTTGACTCTTAGAAGCTTTTCTGCTTCTGTTCAGTCTGGAGACAGCCCTACTTAGGGGAATACAGGTGCCACCCAGGTACTTGGGTTTGAAAGGCCCAATGTGTCCTGTGATTTTGCCACAGACCCTGGAAATTTCCACATCAGAGTGTTATTCCCTTGGTGAAGAACTGACTCCCATCAGCTTTAAAGCCTGATGCCAGGACCCAGTCGGTTACATACTAGTCTGGATATCATTGTCTTTCGTTCCGCATGCTTTCCATGCAAGAAGTCATTAAGTCTTCACAATATCTATGTTGTGTTGGTATTGCTAGAATTCTCCTTTTGATGAATAAACAGGCAGAGAAGTCACGTAACTTGGCTAAGGCCACACAGCAGGTAAGTGAGAAGTACAGGGTTGAACTGGCTCTGGCTCCAGAGCCCAGGTTCCTCAGTGCTTGGTTGTGCTGTCTCTGGAGTTTAAAGCACATTTATTTCTTAAATCCCCGTCACCTGGGTGAGAAGAGAAAAGACTGAGACTTGGATAGGGGAAATTGCCTGCCTTTGGTCCTTTAGCCAAGACATGGCAGACTTGAGACTTGAACCCAGGATGCAACCAGAATTCTAGGGAGAAGAGGAAGGGCACAGCTGCACAGGCCTCCTGAGCAGGTGGCTGGCAAGGGTTTCCTGGGTGGGGGAGCATGCCCAGGTCTGAAGGATTGGGGCTCCTTCTCTGTGCACTGTGGCTCTTCCTGGCAGGACATTAGGACCCAGCTGCTGGGCCTGGCTTGGCCTTAGCCGAATCATTTAATCCAGGTTCCTGCCTGTGCGCCCCCCTGTAGGCAGCAGCAGATGCTCAGCAGCTCTATTTGATCAGGGAGTCTAATTTGAGGGTGTGGCTGCCCTGGAGATCACAGATCCCTTCCTGAGGCTGACAATGCCCTGCAGTAAATCCCCAGTATCCTAGGCCAGTGGTTCTCAAAGCACATCCTGGACCAACCAACAGCAGCAGCAAGACCTGGGAGCATATTGGAAATGCATCTTCTGGATCCCCACCTAAGTCCTACTGAGTCAGAACCTGAGGTCTGGGTTGATGCACACTTGAGTTTGACAGCCTGTACTCTTGGCCAGGGTCCCACCAGCCCTCAGGTGGAGTTTGAGTTGAGCCATGGCTTCTGGGGCTTGGGAGCTTCTCCAAGGTGGGTGAGCCATTCTGGGAAAGGGGCATGAGAGGGGTGACCAGATTTGAGGTCAGGGGCCAGTCTCCATTGCCTGCCCAGAAATCACAGCAGCTCCACACAGTCTTGTGTGCAGTGTTGCAGCGAGCTTCGGAGGCAGACATCTCAGCTCCCAAGTGCCTGCCTGGTAGCTTGTCATCTGTAAACTCTGGAGAGTTTCTACTCACGGGTAGAAAGCATAATACATAGTCACTTTGTTTGATGTCACTTTGTTTCCAGTGCCCCCATCGAGCCCTTTCACAGCTCTTCCTGTTTTTCCCCAGGAAGCTCTGTGAGGGAGGCAGGGCTGAGACTGTCATAGTCACTTAGTGGCAAATGAAGTTGAGGTCCAGGGAGGTTACGTGACTTGCCCACAGTCACACAGGGCAATATCTAAACTGAGTCTGGAACCCAGGTTTCTTGTCTCCCCCAGCTCTTCTGTAGGCCTCAGCCAAGTGTTCCTGCCACCCCTAGCCTGGGAACGTGGGGAGTAGGCATCCCTAGGCATGACCCCCCCACACACAACTTCTCAAGTCACTCAGAGCCCTAGAATCTCAGAGATGGAAGGAACCTTGGAGAGAAACTAGTTCACCCAACTCCCCATTTACAGATTGAAAAACAAAGACCTAGAGAGGCAAACAACTGACCAGGGCACCTGACTCTGGACCAAAAAGGCTTCGCATTGACCCCACCTCCCCCTGACCCATCATTTCTGCCCTTGCTTTCCTCTTGCACTTTGGGGCATCCCCCACTTCCACTCCTTGAAAACACACCCCTGGATAGCCCTAGTCTTTAGTAAAGGCTTGTTGAATGAGAGACTTCATTTGTTCATTAAATGACTGGTTGCTCTGGCCCAAGCAAGGAGCACCAGAGAGGTACCAGGAGAAGATTCTGGGCTTGGTGACTCACCTGTGTCTCTTGTTTCTCATCTCCTGTCCCTCTGCCTTGTTGTTGTGATGGTTTTGCTTTTGATCTGCATTGTTTCTCCTCCTGCCATCTTCTCCCTGTGTCTCTGAGTTTCCCTTTCCCCCTCACTGACTTTGTCCCTGATTTATGTACTGACGGTGGTCCAGATGAGGTGAGAGGCTCTCCTGAGACAAGGGATGATGAGGGGGCAGTGACTTCTGCAGCTGAGCCTCCCCCTGAGTGCATTTAACAGGGACCTCTGGGTCCAGGGTGGATGGTATGTCATCGCTTATCGAATAATGCTCATTTTATTTCTTCCCCAAGAAGCCAGGGTTGATCGCCACTTGTCAGAGGAAAGGAGAGGAGGGAAGAGGCTCTGGGCACATAGGATGGCGTGGTAGAAGGGAGAGGAGCCTGGTGTTCCTGTCCGCAAAGGCATGTGGAGATCCATAAGGTCCCATGGCTGACCGACTACGGGGGCTGGTCCAGGATATTTTAGAAAGCATGGCCAGAATCATCCTCATGGACCCCCAATCATTTCCTCTCTGAGGGTTGGGTGGGTGGATTTTGCTCTCTCTCTACTGAGTGGATTTGCTGGTCTCACTCAGCAGTTTTAAAATACCCCCCCCCCACCACCACCACCAAAGGAGGATCAAGCACTGAGCACCAGCGTAACCCCTCAGAATAGTGACTGGCTTTGGGGGAGAGAGGGTACAAATGACTAGGGTGAATGGCTGGAAGGCCATGCCCCTGTGCCTCTGCCCCAGGAACTGGGAGTAGAAATGGGAATGTCAGGAACAAGCTGTCCATCATGGTCCAATCTGGGCCCTCAACAAGTCACGAGACCATCCTGTGGTGTCATCAGCTAGCAAGGTGGGCGAGACACACTCACACTTAGATGGTACCAGGCCCCTGCATGCCCTCTCTCACTCCTCTCCCCTCCCCTGGCCAGGTGGTGAGCCAGATCGATAAACTAACCTCGGACTTCGACTTTGAACTAGAGCCGGACGACTGGACCACGGCCACTGTGAGCAGCACCTCCAGCAGTGACAAGGCGGGTGTGGGCGGCCCCTTTGACCTGGGCCACTTGGACTTCATGACAGCTGACATCCTCTCGGACAGCTGGGAGTTCTGCTCCTTCCTGGACGTCTCCACCCCCTCGGACTCCGTGGATTGCCCCGAGTCCACAAGGCCAGGCGCCGGCCCTGACTACCGGCTCATGAACGGCGGCATGCCCATCCCCAATGGGCCCCGGGTGGAGACCCCGGACTCTTCCAGTGAGGAGGCCTTCAGCGCTGGTCCTGCCAAGGGTCAGCTGCCCCAGCGGACCCCGGGCACGCGGGAGAGAGTGCGGTTCAGTGACAAAGTGCTCTACCATGCCCTGTGCTGTGACGATGAGGAGGGGGAGGAAGAGGAAGTAGAGGAAGAGGAGGTGGGCCTGCCCCCAGAGCCACCCCGTTCAGAGGCCCACGCAGGCCCCCTCAAGGCCTCTCCAGCACCCTACAAGTCAAGGCGCTCTCCACTGACTGGCCGCCACTCAGGCCCCACCTTGGCCCCTGAGCAGACCCGAAGGGTCACAAGGAACAGCAGCACCCAAACGGTGTCAGACAAGAGCACACAAACAGTGCTGCCCTACACGTCCACCAGACAGAAAGCCAAGGGCAAAAACTAGGGGCCAGGGAGGGGACTGGGGGGAGGTGGGTAAATAGAACTATAAATATATATATATATATATATTTAAACAAATGCAGTCATAATAAAACTTAAAAATGCTAAGGATCTGGCCCAGCAGGCCCCGAAGCTGTCACGAGCTCATCTTAGACACAGAGATGCCTACTCACCGCCCAGGTCCCAGGAGGTGGAGCCACAACCTCCCTCCCTTCCCACTACAGGGCTCCTGAAGGGGTGTCCAAAGGTATGTAAGTCAGGTGGGAGAGGCCCCCTGGCAGGTCCCTGAGCACTGTGGTGGAATCAGACTGCAGGCCTGGGCCATGAGGAAGGGGAGTCTTCACCAGGAAGTAAGCCCTCAAGGACAGCAGCATCAAGGCCAAGGGTAACAAGGGGTCTATTTTCAGGAGTCTGCAGGACTGAGGGCCTGGGGGTGGCATCACTCCCCTGAGCCCAGGATTACCTGCACTCCCATGCCCTCTACTTCAAAGCTCATTTATACCCCTTCTTCCTAAAGGCAAACTTACCTAGTTGTAGACAGCCTGAACCCCCAGAAACCACTTCCATCTCAGCGTTGCCAGGGACACAGATGAAGGAGCAAGCTGCTTCCAGGGTGTGGGTCTCCATGCTGGGAAGCTAGGCATGCAGGAAGACCCTAAGCACCTGCCTGGGCTGGGCAGAGGTATGTTTGAAGAACCTGGACTGTTTTCAATTCTTTCAGCTCCCATTCTCAGCCTTGTCCTCAACTGTTGGTCCCCTCTAGGATCAAGGATTTGGGCAGAGCCCAAATCAGCCTGAGAAGAACTGAGGCCCAATGAGAAAGCCGGCAGGTGCCACCATGAGGCTCTGAACCATGGCGTGGGCAGGCTCCTGACTACCTTCACCAGGCAGGGTGAGCCTACCTTAGCCAGTCTTGGATGATACCAGCAGAGACAAGGTAGGAGCTGGAGTCCCCAGAACTTCATCGGGGGTGTGACAGACACAGGGCCATGCCTAAATATCTTTGCAATAATAATCATAATCATTGCTTACATTATTGAGCAGAGCTCTATGCCCCCTACTAAGCTGGGTACATTTTATAGCATTATCTCATTTAATCTTCATAATAACCTGACAAGATAGAAACTATTACTGGTCCCATTTTTCAAATGAGAAGACTGAAGTTCATAGAGGTTAAGTAACTGCCCTAAGGTCACATTACCTGAGCTACACTGCCCGCCATGAGTGGGTGATCTCTATACTATACCTGGCTCTTCTATCTTATTGCTGTTTGACCTTGGGAAAGTCCATACACCTCTCTGCGCTTATCTACTTCATCTATAAAATGGGTATGATAGTCTTCATCTACCTTATTGGCTGTTTTGGGGCTTCAACAAGATGGTGAATGCAAAAGCGCTTGATAAGTGCCAATGCACTGAACATACATTATGGGCAAGGTGGCCCTTGCCCAGATGCCAGTGTTTTACAGGGTAGGAAACCCTGAGTGGAGTGGAGAAAGTAGCCTCTCCCATGGAGAGGAAGCCATTTCTGAGTTCCTGCTTCCCTTTGTCCCCCATGGCAGCTTGAGGTGGGATATAGTCGCTAATTGATTTACTGCCCTTCGCTCAGAGCAGGGACATAGTAGTAGTGGCATGGCAAGGACACCACTCCACAGGGACTTCCCTGCCACACATTTCAATGAAGGTAGATTTACTGCTGTCCAGGACCTGTTGGGAGAGGTCTCTGCTCCTCAGGGGAGCCCATGAGGGCCTGGCAGCACCCACATCCCTGATGCCTGAGGGACCGAAGGAGGTGCTGTCCAGCCCCAGCAGTGGGAGACAAAGCAATTGTGCAGGTCAGTGTGGAACAACTCAGGAGAAATTAACAGGATGAGACAGGTGACCTAGGACGCATGTTCTCAGTGAGGACCTCTCCCCATGGACATGGGCCAAGGTCAGAGACTCCAGGTGGAAATCCAGGGTGGGGTGGGCAGTGGCTGTGGCTAGTCTACTCAGGCCTCAGGGCCAGTATTCCAAGGCCCTCCATCTGCCCCAGGACACTCTCTGGCAATTGATCCCTGCTCAGAGGATGGAAACCAGGAGTACCCCTAGGGGGAGGGGCAAGCTGGGTTCTAGCCTACCTGACAGTAAGGAGGGGCCTTCTGAGACAGTCTCTGCCCAGGTATAGGTGCACCTCATTCTGTAGAAAGATGCCTAGTTTTACATCTAAGACCTGTATTTCCTCTCCAGCAGTGAGGCTGGTTTTATACTTACAGTCTCTCATCTTTAGAACAGTCAGGGCAAAGAAATCTACTGAAAATCCCCATTCCACAGTGGAAGACCCAGGACCAGGAATCTCTGGGAGATCCCTTGGTAAAGCTTGTCCTCTCCTGGAACACCCCACCCTATCTTGGCTCTGGTGAGAACATATGATCACAGCTTAATGTCCCTCAGTTATTCCCTGGGCCACTACCTGGCACCTTCCCCCAAATGGAGCCATGGTGTGATGATATCCTGGAAGAGGAGCGAGGTGGTCTGTGTTCTGGAAAGCCCAAAAAGTACTTGGCTGCCTGAATAATTTTGCCATCACAGTCTGGACCTCACTGACAGGAGGGAGGCTCCTGGGGACTTTATTATGACTTGAAATGCAGGGGAGCTAGCTGGGGAGGGCCTGGTGACTGTCAGAGCTACTGTCCCCTGGAATGGGCTGCTTGTAAGTAGAGAGTCCCCTGTCCTTGAGGAAGCTTCCACACCTCCCTACTGATCCTGACCACCAATCTTTGCCAGTTTCTGGGTTTCCTCACCTAAAGTGTCCTATCAGATCTCCCTGTTTCCAGAAAGTCTTATTTCACTGACCACCTACTGTGTGTCCCGGCTGGTGCTGTGGACAAGGCCCGAGGGAGTAGGGCCCTTGTTACGCAGAGAGAAGTCCTGATTGTAAATAGCTCAAGTTCACTGAGCACTTACTAAATGCTGGGCATTGTTCTAAGCATCCGCCTTATCTCATGTATTCCTCCCAGCAAAAGAGGTAAGTGATCTTACTTATGCTGTTTTCCAAATGAGGAAGTGTAGGTTCTGGGAAGTCAAATCATTTGGCAATGGGCACAGGATGAGCATGGCACAGGATTGAACCCCAAACTCAGTCACTTGGCACTCAAACATCTGCTACAGACAACATCCATGGTGAATCCAGTGTGTGGTTTCTGGGGGTGAGAGGAAGCGGGGAATCAGAAATCCAGGTCAGCCTTGGCAGGGGGTGACACTGAGCACTAGTCTTTGGAGAACTTGGCTGCCTGGCTGCCATTAAACTGAATGTCATGCTCTTGATTACAGCCTGGGAATGAACAGATTATGGGATCCAACAGATATTTACTGAATGAATGAATGAACCCCACTTGCAGATAAGCATCCATTGTACATTCATTCGATCAGCTTTTATTGCATACCTACCATGTGCTGGGGCTCGTGGTGCTCATACACACACACACACACACACACACACACACACACACACACACACACACACACACACAGCTCCCCAGTGAGCATCCAGTTTGGTATAACTGAGGGGAGGGGTTTCAATGCTGAGAAGACAGAGGTAGCACTGGGTCCAGTCTGTGATCTCTAGGATAGGTGGCAGGGCAAGGATTGGGATCCTTAGCCTGATACCACCCAGGGGCAGAATGTGACAGTCAAGTATTCTGAGACCCCAGCTCCATTCCCCACCCTTAGCAACAAAGTGAGGGCACATCTGCAGAAGGGGAAAGGGGCCAAGAGCAGCTGGAAATTCAAGGCAGGCCTGACTTTCCACCTCTGCCCCTCCTGGGTTCTCTTTCTTGCTCCCATTCTCCAGCTGGGACTTGTACAAGAAAACTGACATTTATTCACCTTGTCTCTCCCAGGCACTATGCTGCCTCTTTAACACTAAGCGACAGACTTAGTTGTGCTCTTCACAAAATAGGTCTCAATAATTATTTGTTAAATAAATAGATGAACCACAATTTTCATTTCACCGGGGAGAAATGAATGAGGGAGCTGATGAGTGAACAAGGCGTTTGTTCAAAGTCTGCAGTCAGAAATTGGAGGAACTGGAGATTGGACTTTGCAGTTGTTACAGTAGGGGAGAGCTGCTGTTTATGGAATGCCTGTTATTTGCTGCATTAGGCACTTAATGTAAATCATCTTGCCTACTTTATAACAACCCTCTAACTAATTGAGCCTATGGATGACCATTTTGCAAATGAGATTCAGAGACACGTAGTATCTTGCCCCAATAACCAGCTCCTAAGAGCAGAAATAGGGTCTGCAGCTAGACTTCACCATGCTTCCCACACTCCTCATTTTGGGAGGCCTAGAACCCCTGCAAGTAGAGTCATTTCCAGAGCCCGGATTTCCCTCAGTGGAATTGGCCCATACCCACCAGGACTCAGGCCCTGCCTTTCATCAACTCAGCCCGCAGACCCTGAGAGCACTGAGTCAGACTACCAGAACCTCTACCAGTTCTGTGTGGGTCTGGGGCACTGACTAGGTGGCCAGCAGAAAAACATTTCCAGGTCCAAAGTGTCCTTCCCCTTCTCATATCTCCTGCCAAGAAGCTTAGGTGGTCCCAGCCCCATAAATGCGCAGCCCCTTTCTGGTCTGAGCTAAAGCTGCTTTAGTTAGAGGCTGGAGTATCTAGGAAGGCTTCCGAAAGGAGGAAGACTTTGAAATGGAATTCGCTTGAAATGGAGTTGAACTTGGACATCCGGGAGTAGGAATGACAGGCATTTGCGGGTCTGGTGGAACATCACAAAGGTGGCTGAGGTGGCCATTCTGGGGTAGGTAAAGTATCAGGCTTTTCTGCCCTCCCACCATTGGGCTTAATGGTGGCTGCTTGCAGCCCTGAATGCGTGCCTGATGGCCAACACCTGGAGTAAGGTGTGGGCATGCGTAGGTGGGTACACCTGGGCTGAGAGACTGGGTTTATAAGGGTGGCGCCGCAGAGTGCAGTGTCGAGGGTGGAGGAGCGCAGCTGAGAGTGACAGGGCGCGACGGAGTCCGGCGACTACAGAAGGCGGAGAGCATGAAGACAACAGGTCTGCTAGAGCCGTTAATGAACCTAGCCGGTATGGGTTGGTTGCGTTATAGCCA